CCCATAACTCAAGGTCATTCTAGTCGCGCACAGTATGAAAATAGTCGAAGAACTGAAAAATATAGGAATAATCACTATCGCAGGATCCACTGACCTTGGTTTGGTTCTACCTACAGAAGATGCTCGAAATGATGACCCTCGTCATCCTCGGGCCCTTCCCAATGCGGTAAGTTACATCGCGTCCTATAAGGTCGGGACTTGAAGCTCGTTGCTACGAACTTCCACCTTTACACGGTGTGGAGGGACAAACGTTGAGCGTGATTCTGCTCCGTTTCACAGCAAGGGACTTGCTTGTGGAGCCGCTGAACTCATCGAGATATCACACAGTCCACTGCGCAGAGTTCTGCCCAGAAGCGGCGACTTATTTCGCACGGGATCTAAGTCCGACGAAGTCTTTATTCTAATTCACCTTCGCAACCTTTCAGAGATCAAGGACATCGAAGACGTTAGGAAGTTCCTGTTAACAGGAGAACCGAGGACGAAGTCAAACAGCGCCGGACAAACCGACGAGTAACGGGAGGATACATTCCCGGGAAATTCCGCAGCCCAGGCGCCCCGACAGGCCTCAATCCTTGGAAATAAATGTGTTAAAATGTGCAAAATCCAGTATCCGGTTATTTCTCGCCCGTTCCTTGAATCCGGACCCGTTAGGGGCCACCTATCCCCTAACATTTTCTGTAGTCGTTTTAGCGACAGCTTCGAATAAAGCAGTCATCCTGATGTTTGTTATTTAACGTTATTCGCGTACTTTACGCTTCTCTACATCAAATGCACGGGGGCGCATAGCCTGATTGTTACGGCGTTGTAAAAAATTGGAAACGCGGGAGTATATGCGCAGGCTTGAGTCACCTCGCGTGATCCTCCGCGCGACGAATCAAGGATATCGCGTGATCCTTCACGCGACGAATCGGCGATATCGATTCTTCGATCGGGATCCTGAATCGGGCGCGATTGGTGAGTTCGATCTATCCGAGTGGGATACTGACACTGATCAGTCGCCGTATTTTTGCTCTCGTTAAGTGTACATGTGTATCCTGCATGTGTTTAGTGCGCTGGTTTTTCGTGAATTTGGAACGTTGCGAGGCTAGGTACGCTGATAGAGCGGCACCGTAACCTCCGAACCTGGTGAACATTGTGAGGCTAGGGCCTCCGATCGTGCGAGGACTGCATCTTCAGACTCGGCTGCGCGCCATATCTTCGTTAAGGTAAGAGCTCTTCGAAACGAATGATCATTCGGCCGCGTGCGATTTAGTTCCTATATCCGTAACCGTAACGATTGTATTTAATAATCTTAAGTACGCTGTTAATTGCAATTTCGAATAAACTCTTAGAGTCATCTTCCTTGCTCGGGTTTTCCCTCTTCCTCCGTGAGAGTTTTTATGCCGGAGCAAGGAATAGTCTCGACATTGACCGCGACATCGTTGTGTTTTTTTATTCCCAGAATCCCGATTACTCATCCCTCCTTGCTTCATACGGCGAAACTATTTTCGAAACTTTCAAACTCAAACGCTAATATTTAATCCCCGGATTAAATCGCATTCTGAGACGCAATGAGAATTTAATCTTTGACTAATTTCCTTTAATGCATTCATCACTTTATTAGAGTCATTGTTATTGGAAAATGAAAATAACTAGCCCGTAGCCGTTGTAAGAGTAAACAGCACGTAGACATCTTGACAACGAAGACGCGAGATGATGGAAGACAGATGTCTAGGCGTTCGGGACTCGAACGCTTTGTTTAAGGCCCGATAACGACACAGAGCGTCCTGTTCGTTGGGAAAAGCGTTGCGTAGGACGCATTCGAACAAACGACTGAAAAGGAATCAAAGGAACACTTTTTTGGTCGACTATTGACCGAGTTACATCGTACTCCTTTTCCAGGCTTATTCGCTAATCGCGATCCGCTGTTGTTCGCGCCACTATTCAGACTATTTACGTTTATCTCGAGCCTTCGTAACCGTTATTTCATTCCTACGTGTCTTAATTTTTAGCAGTAGCAAAGTATGGTACCGAAAACCGCACAACGGTGCGCGCAGTCGGTACAGCAGTTTTCCAAAAGGTGTTATCCCCCGAGGATAAATAAAATAAAGGAAAGATCTATACCACGAGTCGCTTACCGTAAAAACCCGAAAGGTTTAAATAAACGTAACCAGAACGACGTGAAAATTTACAAACATTGTATGTAGTCCGGGAAAAGAAAGAATAATTCAAAGCTCTAAAATCTTCAGGCTGCCCGTTTGGAATACCACGCAATCACCAACATGCACGCATCGCACATGGGATGCATGGCAACCGGGCAAACACCGTCGCGCCTAAGTAACCCAAAAACTTGGAAAGGATATAAGACGGATTAGGGAAACGAAAAGAAGGGAAAAGAAAAAGCAACACCTTCGCTTCTGTTTAATAAATGCACGATCCGTGTCCTTTTGAAGGAAGCATCCGCATACTCCAGAAAAAAGAATTCCTCGCAATCAGGACGTAGAGGAGCAACCACACTAGCGGTCCTAAGCTAATCCTAAAAAAGCGCGATTATAACTAACAGCGTCAACCTACCGTTGATTATCCGTAATCCCTTGAACACCTACAGGGAGACAGGAGCTCAGTTTGATCTGAAAAAAGTAAAAAGCGACATGTAGTACAAATGGACCCTCTCACAACCCCGATCCTCTCTTATCCTCTCTTATCCATCACTCCTATCCTATTAGTATGAATGAACGAAGAATGCATTTGTGTGCAGGCTGGCACACGCAGCACCGACACTGGGAGTGCCCGTGAGCGGCGGGGTTGATCCCACCCCGTCGTCTCCCGTGCTGATGTGAGCGAGCTCTGCCGAGGTGTTCGGGCTGCGTGATGTCCGGGGATGGCCACTTCGGTCCCTAGCCAGGAAGTGTAGGCTGAGTGGAAGTGTCGGAGCTTCCACCGTTTACGAGCGAGTCTCTCCCCGTCACACTGGGGGAGATTAAATGTAAAGCACGGGGTCCCCGGAGTTCCGGGAAGCTACATACTCCAGTAGTGGGTGCACCCTCCCGTGTTGCGGCCCGCTCCCCCCTACACGATGCGCCATTAAACGTTAAACTATGTCTAATTATCAAAAACCCCCAAATCAAGGCATGTTCAAACAAAGTCTAATAGACTTTGGAAAAGATCTGACTGAGTACACCGGTCGCGCACTCAGTGAGACCGAATCCAACAAGGAAGATACGCACAAACTCTCGGACACAGACAGAGAATCTTATGAAAGCGTACACGCACCTAGATTCTCTCTGTCGCGTAGTTCAATTGGAATACAGAATCAGCCGCCATTGCAGATCACGCCGCGCGAAGAAGGAAACGTCTTCCGTACGCCGGTGGGAACAATAACCAGGAGCACTCTGAAACAAAGCAAGAGGAAAAGAAGCAATGAGAAGAAGAGATCAACTGAAAAACAAAAGAAAGACGAAAAAAAAAAAAGAAACTGAGCTACTCGGTAAACGACTCCTGCGACGATTCGTTTTCAGAAGGGGAAGAGAGCGAGTTCTCGGTGGACACGATAAACAAACCGGACGCAGCTCTGATAAGCTCCCTACTGGAATGCGTCCAGGAAATAGAAATTGTGAGGACGAGATCGTCCAACCTCCAAGGAGGATATAAAAGGAAACTAAAAATCGCGGAAGAAACGATTAAAGAAGTAAGCTCCGAATTTACCGGAAGGAAGAACGGAAAGAAGACTAAGACTGAGAACCTAGTACTGAAAGAAGAAAATAGCAAACTCAAAAAATACATCGAAGTTCTAGAAAAAAGAATTACAGTCCTAGAAAACGCAGTCTACAAAGAAAAGAAAGACGAAGGGAAAATACCTTACACCACTGACCCTCAGGAACACCTGAAAGAAATAAAAGTAAGCCTAGATAGACAAATGACGGATTTCAAGACCGAAACCAAGGAAATGCTGACTATCGGTCTTGCAAACAGAAGTCATGCCCCTGGAAAAGGAGAAAGTGCTAAAAACAGCACAATCACAAAAGATAGAGCCAAAGATAATTTAAATAAACCAGCAGAAACGGCTCCAACAAAATGGACGGAAGTAATCGGGAGAAGGAAAAAGAGCAACTCCAAAGAAACTGCAAAACAAGACGAAAGACAGGTGACGAAGTCTCGCGACACAGAAGCAAGCAGGCAGACTACAAAAAAGAAAACTCCGGCGAGAGTAGCCAAAGACCGCGCCGTAATCCACATTATAAGGGAGGAAGGCTGCGAAGTAGACTACGCGGAAATAATGAAAATGGCCCGCGAGAAGATAAACATCCAGGATCTGGGAATCGGAGGATTGAGACCGAGAACCTCATTAAACGGTGGGCTCATCCTAGAGATCCCAGGGAAAGATATGGAGCAAAACACTAACGCATTAGCCGGAAAGATTACCGAACTTGTCAAAGGTAAAAAAGTCAGAGTCACCCGTCCACAGAAATGGAAAGAAATCATCGCTCTTGGGATGGACCACTCGATAAATCAAGACGATATTATTGACGCAATCAAAAGAGAAACCGGCCCGGACCAAGAGATTAAGGTCGGAACAATCCGGAAGAATGCACGCGGCACAAGCTCTGTTTCACTTAGATGCAAGAGAGAAACCGCCCTTAAACTTCTAACCGAAGGAAGGATAAGAATGGGCTGGTCGGATGTGAAAATCATCGAAGCTGAAGCAAGACCGCTGCAGTGTTATAGGTGCTGGGAATTCGGACATGTAAGCGGTGCATGTAGAAGCCCCACCGATAGATCTAGCTGATGCTACAAATGTGGGAACAAAGAACATGTCGCCAGAATTTGCCGTGCCACTAGCATGATTTGCAGAATCTGCGAGGAAGAAAAGCTACCCTCCTCACACAGGATGGGAA